ACAATTAATAGAAATAAACAGGAATTAATCAATCACCAATATGACTCTAGTCAAAGGTGCAACTTTTCAGACACGGTCCATTCAACTGATCATTGATGCAAAAATAATTCAATTACTCATTAATAGATTGGTTATAGTTGTCATACACGCGATAAACAACCAACCTTTCCTTACTTTTTCGATAGTCAAGGTACGACCATTAACTATTTTCTTAACCAAGAAATAACCCTAGGTACGATCATAGGATTTAATTTTTCAATTGCAATAAGAATTAGAAAAGTCCAACCCTAACTAACAAACACACTACGAGGGTTCGTTTAATTTAGATCATATGTTTCCCTAACAGGAAACCAATCACGCCAGTCGCCACTGGTATTAATCGATTAAACAATTACGGATTCAATCAATTAATATGGCAGTAGATTATTAGGTTAATTCGAATATCGAACCCTTGACATTCAAATAACATAACAAGCATAAGAAGTTAAATCAGAAAATGTACAAATACCAATGAATAAAAGAAATAAGTAAAATAATTCGATCTCACAGATGTTTGGAACCGAATCCTCAAATTGACCTTCGACTAGAAAACAAAGATTTAGTTCTTCATTATTGAGAAAATCGCCAACGCGATGCTATGGGAAAGAGCCCAAAATTCCCCGGCTCCTCCCAAGAGCTTCTCATATCTCCCTGTAGTCGGCTGACTCTTTTTTCCCTAAGAAGTAGTAATCAAACGGGAGCTGGCCTCTTCTTTTCCTATTTTTTAGTTTCCAAAATACATTGAACTTCCTAATTTTCCTAAAAAAAAAAGATATTTCCTAATAATCTAAGATGTTTCCCAACTATATTTAGAAACATGCTTCATAAGTCTTCGACTTGAATTAGGAAACTGCCATGCGCGAATCTTAGCTTCTCTGGACCTGACAGCAATTCTTGGAAAATTACCCCTTTTATCACATTTTGCTCATTTTCTTATAATTGGTACCATTAACCAAATATAAGTAGAATCTATCAATTAAAATAATATTTGGCTAAAATCAAGGAAAAATAATTATAAATTTAGCAACAAATTATGACCTATCAATTTTCTCCACACCTAAACTATGCTTGTCTTCAAGCATGAGAACACAAATCAAGCAATCAAATTCAAACAATGGCTATTACTCGAATCTTCTATTGCCAAGACACAATTAAAACATATGTCAAGTATTAGTGAAAATTTTTAAGAAATATGTCTCTAGTTAGTTTTCAAGATCAAGGACTCTTTCAATTTATGACTAACTAATCTAAGAATATAAAATATTCAACCAGCATCCATAAACAAATAATTCGACTATGACACAAAATCTCAACATTAAAATTCATGGATTAGTGGGCTAACAACTCATTCAAACACTTCCATATTTTTTACTATTAGCACTTTTTTTTCTTTTCTAGAATATCCCCACACTTGAGTTTTTTTTTTTTTTTTCTGGGGGAATGCTTAGTCTTTAGCCATTTAAGCATTTTGACGTGAACTCCGACATTGGCCAAATGAAGCAGCTCGGTTACTCAACCTTCATCGCTTAAAATTCAATTACTTATAGCTATCATCATTTTTTGACGCGAAAATCGACACTTGTGGTGAAGACCTCTGATTATTAAGCAATGATATCTAGCAGAGTATAGCCAAACATGATTCAAATAAACATCAAAAACAAAATTAAAGATCACACAAGCCCATTTCATTTCTTAAATATGGAAAACTAAGATTAATAGTTGAACCCATTTGCATAAAAATGCTAGACAAATATTTACACTATTTAGAAAAGTTAACCAAAAAGTGTAAAAAGTCATAAAATCTCAAATATTCACCAAAGAGATACCCTTAAACTTAACCATATTATATTTAACACCTTAGAGTGTAAAATCTTCGCAATAGAAAAATTTGGGACATCTAACCATCGTTTATCAGGAACAACTACAAGTATGCATGAAGATAGGCAAAAATTGGACAAAATTCGGTAAAGTCAAACAAAAAATTTCAACAAAAATGCCTACACTTACACTTTTTCAATAAAATACTAATATACTACTCCCCCACACCTAAATCTTACATTGTCTCTAATGTAAGAAATAAAAAAATAGAATACGAAACAAAAATGACAATGAAACTTCCCTGGTAATTGAGGAGGGTTGCGAACAGCTATGGATGGAAAGGGCAGTGTGAAGTGATAGCGAACATCCAACAATGAATGGTGAAAATAAGTGGCGCTGGCTAGGGTTTTAAGTCAAGCAGCTCCACTTTACCTCAAACGAAGATTAGAGATGCCAAACTAACGACGAGACCAGAGATGGCCGTGGAAAGTGACCAGCGGCAGCAGCATGGTGTGGTAGCGGTGATGACAAGCAGAAACGGCGCGAGCAGCAGAATTTGATGTCATAAGGTTGTGGTCTTGCGGTTGAAAAGGGAAAGAAAGGAAGAGAAAGGAAAGGGAGAGAAGAAGAAAAGAGAAAGAAAGAAGAAAGAAAGAGAAAGAGAAAAAGAAAAGGAAAGAAAGAGAGAAGAGAGAGAAAGAATTTTTTTTTAGAACCACTACGTTAGACGTGGGCACGCCTAACTGCCCTCGAGTCTTCTGACCAACCCTTAGAAATTAAGTTCCTTAAGCGTGACCATATGACGAGGGCACGCCTAACTATTAGAAAGTCTTCTGCTCATAGACGAAAATTCATGCCTTAGGCTTGACCACTTAGTGTGAGCACGTCTAACTATTGAAAAGTCTTCTGCCCACAAACGAAAATTCATGCCTTCGGTGTGACCATCTAGCGTGGGCACACCTAACTAGTGGGTAGTATTCTGTCCGTCAAATTAAAAATTCCTTCCTTAGGCATGACCACTAGATGCGAGCACGCCCAGCTACCAGCTTCCTGCCACAAAAGCAACAAATCACTAAACTCAACAAACACTTCCTTTTCCCTCCAAATTTCCTCTAAATCTGATTCTTGTACCTTCCTTATCCCTCGAACTTTCCTCTTCTTCATCAATACCATTCAATTTTCCTAATTTCTTCGAGTTGTATTCTCCAATTCTTCATTTCTATTCCTAGAGATTAGACAATACAGCAGATCCACTACTTTCTGCATCGGTATTCAGCAGGAAATTAAAGAATAGGAAATAAGCAGCACAAGCACGGCGGAGGTGAAGACGCATCATCCTTGTCCTATAAAGGACCCCGTTTCTGGTACGCTTGTTTTCGCTTTTTTATTTTGCACGGACTATTTCATGGTTAATAGACTAACGGGATGAACTTTACTGTCTCTTTTTTTCCTTTTTAAATATACATTTTCAGAAACAAATTAATGGTAAATCAACTCAAATTAGAAATACTCCCTCTGTCCCACTTTGATAGTCCTGTATTCCTTTTTCATCTGTCCTAAATTGTAGTCCACTTTCCAATTGAAGAATGTAGTTGTATTTTAATTTTTCTAAAATACCCTTATTCAATGTAAGTAGTTGTTACTATAAATTCAAGTTCCCATAAAGTTGTATCATATTTAATGTGAGGGTATTTTAGAAAAATAGCAATCTAAATTTAATTTTCCAACAAAGTTAATTATTTTTTCTTAAACTGTGTGAAAAAAGAAATAGAACTATCAAAGTGGGACGGAGGGAGCAGTTAGTTTCTTGTTTCTCCCTTCCCAAAGTTTAACTAAGCTTTAGAATTTCAATGATTTGCAGGAAAGTGACGACTTATGTAAACTTAAGCAACTCTTTGCCTTCAAGGATTGTGTGGGCTATGTATTTATTCGAGATTGGAAATATTTTGCTGATAGTTGTACTGGAAGAACATGATATCCGTTATTGGCGGCCAGAATAAAGGCGGTTATTTTGCTGCAATTAATTATGCCTAGGGTTTTGCTTGGTGGACAAAACAAGACTAATAGAATGGTGTTGATTAACATGTTTATTTTTGCTGACAGAAGCTAACAGGAGGGGCTGTTTTTTAAGGCTTTGTTACTTTCATACCTCAAGGTCTGATTTGTGGTTTGGCTAAACCTTAAAGGGTCGTGTAAACTTAGTCGATCCTTAATTTCTATAAAATTCGAAGTCTCACAGGAAGTATTGTTGTGACCTAAAATAAAATTATTTGTCAATCTCGACAAGTAATCTTGATCGGAAAAAGACCGCAGGACAGAAATTCTGCACTCTAAACAGTTGAAGTTACATAGTTTATTATTAAAATAACTCAATGACTGAAACCATGCAATAGATTCGAATGATTTAACAACCACATGTGTGGTTTACAGGTAAGGTTATCATAAAGTTAGTGAGGCTTCCCCCCCCCCCCCCCCTTTTTTAGGCAAAGTTAGTGAGGTTTATTCAAGCGATTCGTGTATCTATTGGGTATATCCTTTTTGGCTTTGCTTTGGCACAATCTATCAGTTGGAGAATGCAGGAGTCAATTCAACCTTGAAAAGCCCTCAACAATGACCCTTCGAGTTTAGCAGCATGACCATTGAGCTTACCAAAGTGATTCAATGCCATTCAAGCGATTCGTGTATCTATTGGGTATATCCTTTTTGGCTTTGCTTTGGCACAATCTATCTCCACATCTATCATTATCAGTTGGAGAATGCAGGAGTCAATTCAACCTTGAAAAGCCCTCCACAATGACCCTTCGAATTTAGCAGCGTGACCATTGAGCTTACCAAAGTGCTTCAATGCTATTCAGTTATTCAGAACATAAAAATGGATGAGCTCTTGAGGTTTATTCAAGCGATTCGTGTATCTATTGGGTATATCCTTTTTGGCTTTGCTTTGGCACAATCTATCAGTTGGAGAATGCAGGAGTCAATTCAACCTTGAAAAGCCCTCCACAATGACCCTTCGAGTTTAGCAGTATGACCATTGAGCTTACCGAAGTGCTTCAATGCTATTCAGTTATTCAGAACATAAAACTGGATGAGCCCTTGACTATGTATAAATCAAAAGAATTTAATAATCAACTTAAAGTATGATTATGGAGGAGGAAAGAACTTGCCGTACCATGCATGGAAGCAATGAAGCTGATAGTATCTTTCGTTCTTCTAAACGTCTATCTGCATTACAGCTGACAAGCCATCAATTTCTCTCTTAAATTTTACATAAAATATCTGAAGTTTGTTGATCCTCTGTGTATGTCATATATCATGAATGATAATAATTGCAATATCTACTCAAAACACACGATTTTGCTGGCAATCGCTGAAGTATATGGGTTTACTGCAAGTATTTGAAGCTGTGTAGGTTAAAAGTTATGGCTTGTGTATTATGGAGAATTATTACTGCTAGTTTGACAATTGTGTCAGTAGCTATTGTAGTTTGTAGACGTAACGTACATTATGAAATTATTTTAGAACTTATGAATTTCTGACACGTAATATGTGTGCAAGTGCTTGATCTTTCATGCGACTTGGAAACACCAAAGTTACTCGATCAAATTGAACCTAACAAAAGTAAATAATACCGCAGATTCTATCTAAACATCATGTATATATCATATTTTTGGCAGCGTTATTGTTACTCTGAAGGTGTTAATGAGAAGTTTATTTCTGGTTTGCAGATACCATGAAATTGCTTAGAGACAAGCCTCCAGCGCACTACATATTGCAGATTGACTCATTCTCCTTGCTTCTTAAAATTCTAGAAAAATCAGACGCAAAGAGTTATGATTCAATGACTTTTGAAGCCTGTGGTTATAAATGGTTGAGTCTGATTCTCATTATGTCAAGACTGAATTTCATTTAATTTATTTTCTTAGGCAAATAAACTTCTTTTGTTAATCGTTGTAGAAATTCATATGTCACGCACAAAGATTAAACTCAGCAGTACTAAGCTAATCTAGATATCCTCCTGCCCCCCCCCCAACACACACACACACAAATTTGTGAATAGCTAATTCTAAATTGAATATCATTTAATTTCTGTTTAGCCTCAAACAAATTATCTGAACTCTAGAGTTCAAATCCCAAATTGATCAAAATTTTTAGGAAGGAAGTCACTCAAGAGCATTTTGATGATTATATATGTATGCATTTGTCTGTTTTACACAATGCTCAAGAAAATTACTATTATTATTATTTTGGTCTTTTCCCCTGAAGGAAGCTTTCCCTCTACCCCAATGGTGACCAAAAAAGAAATGCAAAAGGATTCATATCCCTTTACTTGAGAATCGAAGAGACTAATGCTCTGCCTGTTGGGTGGGAGATCAATCTGAACTGTACATTTTTTGTGCTTGATCAGATTCAAGAGAAGTACTTAACTATCCAAGGTTTTCTTCTTCTAGTTTCCAAGCTTTGTCTTTCATATTCTGTCTTTTCTAGCCTTCTTCCATTATATGTGTAATTAGACATTATCACTTGCGCTATAATCATTTCCTCTCTTCTTACAACCAGATGTCTGTGGGAAGTTCAGACACTTGTATGCGCTGAAGAAAGACACTGGACTTTCTCGACTAATGCAACTTGATGTTTTCAAAGATGAAGAAAATGGATACCTTATTCAGGACAAATGTGTTTTTGGAGTGGAAGTTTCCGTTAACAGTTATAAGGGTAGAGGAGAGTGTCTAGCTATGCCTGTGAAACCTAGCAGCGCAACTTACACTTGGAAAACAGTTGACTCTTGTAAGAGTAACGAGATGAGACTCTCTGACGTTTTTACTCGGCAGGGTTTCGAGTGGTATGTCCTCCCATTCTTCAAAGTTATTTTTGTTCTCATGACGCTGTGCACTTGGCAGTGCTTTGGAGATGTCTGACTGGTCAAATGTTACTTTTCTAACATGACTTTGTGTTTGATTGGATGATAGGGACATTAATCAGTTGGCTAAGAAATGTTGTGGCTTCTTTATTTATCTCAGGAGACTAAAGCTTTTTCCCAGAGGAACAGAAGCTAACAAAGGCAAAAATCTTTCACTCTATCTAGAATCACTCGACTCCAAAACTACCCTTATCGTGTATGCAGAATTCAAGCTACGCGTAAAACACCAACTGAATGGCGAGGATATTGAGAAAACAGGTCAATCAATCCACGTATATCTTTCCATACATGACTTAACCTCAAATGAAGAATTAAAAAACATTTTTTTTTATCTTCTTATGTTCGGTGATTTTGACCAATTCCACTTTGCAGCGGAGCACTTGTTCACTGGTTTAGAAGGCGGCTGGGGTTTTGGTGCCTTCCAATCATTGAATGATATTGCGGATACTTCTAAAGGCTTCCTCGTGAATGGCACTTTGATCGTCGAAGTGGAATTTGTTCGCATTTCATCCGTGAAAAGTTTCACTGAAGGGTGCGGAAATTAGTAGGAAAATGAGTAGATGACTCTCTCACAATCCAACCGTACATTATAATTGATGGGAAAGGAATACTGGTTTGTCCGGTTTTATATGTAAAACACAAGAATGTCTCAATATGGATGGCAAATTTGTCCTTTTAAACTTCTCCACCTCTCTCAGACTATCAACATCATCTTCGTCTTGAATTATTGATTTTAGATTCAAACTTTCTGTATTTTTTAAAATTTTTTTAATTGTTCTAGTTTTTCTTTTCAAGGGAACAACAATAAAAGGGAAAAGAAAGCAGCTATGTTGGAAAGAAATCTAGTAGCTTGCTGTAATTTTGCTCAAGAGAGCTTCGACTTATTATTCCAATCTAGATAAATAATCCACGCAATAAATCCAGTCAGAGGTCCAAGGTTGGGATTGATAGATCATTTTATTTTAATTTTTTTGGTTGAATAATGAGGAAAGGGGTTTCAAATGAAAGAAAAGAATTAGAATGCCTTCTTTCTTAGTTTATCTCCCTACTGTTGTTATTGGTTGGCACAAGCAGAGTAAACATTTATTGATGTGTAAATGAGGAATGGATATACGGGTGTCCTGCTAGGACAATCCGGTATGTATGGGTTGATAGAAACATCCATTAGTGGATTAACCACTGCTCAAATTTTCCTGGTTGAGTTGAAGCCAAAAAAAAAAAAAAAAGAATAAACATGTTGATATTTAATTGTCGCCATGACCAGGAGGTGAGGTTCGTTGAGGGAAAAATCAAAGTCGAACTTTACATTAAAAAAAATGATCAAAACTAAGGGACAGAAAAATAAATCAAAATTAATTAGCACTAAAGACCCAAAAAGAAAACATACAGATCGAAATCTTCAACGAGGAAAAATTTAAATGTTGAGCGAGCCCAAGATCCGGGAGTTGGCAAAAGAAAATAAAGTCTTCAACACCTTGTTCGCTTTCCGATTAGATTGCAGATCGAGATTTTGTAATCTATGTAGTTGTAGAGGAAGCTTGAAGGAAGAAACAAAATCTATGGAGGTCTTGAAATTAAAAGAGGGAAAAAGGACCAAGGGACAGAGGAAAACGGCTCTACTAGTGAGTGCTGGATTTTTATTGTTGAGTGCAGGTAGTGTTTAACTTATTTTTATAGTAAATTAAAAAAACCGCCTATTCACGGTTTATCCGATTTTCACAAGTTCAAAAAGTTTAGCCAATTCTTAATGATTTTACATTACTTCTCCGGTTTAATACCAGAGTTAAGGTTGGGCAGTTCAATCGGTCGAACTGGTCGGTTCGATCTGATTTTGAAAACAATGGTTTTGACTGGAATAGGAGGAGGCAACGGTACAACAAAAGAAAGATAGAAAGAGCGCATAGCAGGTATGCACAAGTTCTGAAGACAGAACAGAGTTAGGGCCTTAGGGGAGGTTGTGGAGCTTAGGAAGCCGGCAATATTAGCAGAGGGTCTACTTTGCAATTAAGATGAGTTGTAGGAGCTTCTCTTGAAATTTTCAGGAAGCTGCCCAACTTACCGCATCTGTCATGCTACAAGGACTCAATCAAAAAATATTTTGATAAGCCCGGAGATTTCTTACTCCTCGGGAGGTTAGGGACCTAGGGTGAGGGATAATGAAAATTCATTCACTTATTCTTTGTTCCGAAGGGTTCCTCATGCCAAGTTTGAAATGAGAATGATTTCCTTTTCCTTTTTTGACATTATTATATGCAATTAGTCTATACTGGTAATATTCTTGAACTTCAGGAACATGTTCATTCGATAATACTCACACAGCAACAACTGAAGAACTTTGTTGAATAGAATAATGATAATCAAATTTGTTAAAAATAGACATAATTTTTTTCCAAAGAATAATGAGAAGAGGTTTTCTTCTAATGATTTCTCCAGTTGGCAAACGCACGGTTGGAAATTTTCAAAATGTGGCAAGATTCAGCGCCAGATCTAGCTACCCTATTCAATCAAGGGTATCATTCCTCTACCTCTAAATTTTCTAAAACATACCTTACTATCCTCGTTGGTTTGTCACATAAGTGCATATTGGAAACTGACAGGTAACGAACCTGTGCAATAATAATTATTAAAAAATTCTAATTACCATCACAATTAATTATAGAACAAATCCAAGTACTGGAGCAGGGACCCTAGATGTGCAATGGGTTACTTGATTCACCCTGTTCCTGAAGAGTTTGCCGATATACCTGAATTGTCTATAAAAATATTAAATTTGCATATAATGGCAAGTAGGGTCGAATTCACAGGGAACGGGTAGGAAGTTGTTTCTTTCCAAGTCAATAGAATAAAATTGGGGGATGATTAATGGGATGAAAATGAAAATAAAATAAATAAAATTCAAAAGATGACTCCACAAGTACAATTTACTAAAAATAGCAATTAATAAAATTCTACCCAAAGAATCAACTTTTCAGGCACGGTCCAATTAAATGATCATCGATGCAAAGATATTTCATCCATCCATCACTAGGTTGGTTATAGTTATCAATAAGTTCTGACAACCAGTTCTTCCTTACTTTTTTTACAGTCAAGGTACGACCATTGACTACTTCTCTAATCAGAAAACAACCCTAGGTACGACCGTAGGAATTTAATTATCCAATTGCTTTAAAGGTAGAAGAACCCAACCCTAACCAATAAACATGCTAAGAGTGCTTATTTAAACTAGATCTTGCGTTCCCCCAACATAAAGCCAATTATGGTGGTTGTCACTAGGTATCAACTAAACGAACAATTACGGATTCAATTTAGTTAATGTGACAGTAGGCTATTAAATTAAATCAAATACCCGGCCGTTGATATTCAATTAATAAAATACCCATGAACAATTAATCCAGGAAACGCACGAATAGCAACAAGTTGGAAGAAATAATGAAGATTCGATTAGATCTCACAGATATTATGGACCGCGCTTTCGCGTCGACCTTTGGGTAGAGAAAAAAACTAGCCGCTCCTTATCGTATCAATTTCACGTGATTTGATTGATTTCATCCGCACACACATCAAAGAATTAGGAACGGTGAAGTACCGAAGAAAGAAAAAAGAAAAAGTCTTCTTTTTCTCTGCGTTGGTGTTCGTACTGAAGCCGAAAAGTACAATGCGAAAGCCAATGAAAGTTGTACAAGGCCAAAGCAAAAGCAAAAGAGTCAAAAGCGTCAAAGCCAGAAAGCCAGCGAAATTCTACAGCGTCTGACCGCTATGGAAAAAGAAACTAAAGCTAAACTATCAATTAGACGTGAATCTGGCTTTGCTAATTGCTGCTGAAGGCCAAAAGACAAAAGACGTCTGACTCAACAAAAGCCAAAGCTCTTCTAATTGATCTCACGTGAATCTGGCCCTCCTTTTTGCTTTGTTGCCGCCGCCCACAAAGAAAGAAATGTCTGCCGTAGCCCTTCTTTTCCTAAGGGTTTTAATCCCATGCTCCTGGTCTATGTAAACGTAGTCTCCTAGCTGCCTTGCTGCTACCAAGCCCGTGGGTCCGGCTTTTAGGTGAGTCTCCTTAGTTTCTGGCGTGAACACGCCCTGAAACAAAGGGTCTTTTGGAATTTTGCCTCAAAAGATTACTTTTAACGCCAATCACCTGTAATTTACACAAATGTGAAATAAGAGCAGAATCCCAATTCTTAGCACCATGAATAGTCATAATTAGGACAAAATAATAGTGCAAAATGTGCAAAATAACCGCTCTATCAAATCTCCCCACACCTAGACAATGCTTGCCCTCAAGCATTTCGGAGCTCAGAAGCATAATCAAGATAGCAACGGTTTCATAGTCATCTATACTAGCACAGACATCCTTCATTCCTGACAATATCGCCGAAATTAGAATACCGGACAAGTAGTTATCCAAAAAGTATGAACAGGAATATTTGTCACCTACAAGAGAATGTATAAAAACAAGGAACGCTCAAATCAACATCACGGAATGACATTACCATAGGCTTGCACATTTATCACATCTCCACCACTGAAAAGTGAACTAAATACACAAATCAAAGGGACTTTGATAGGGTTGTAATGGAGTTTAGGTAAAAGGCGGGATAGGACTGTATAGATAGGGGGTAATGTGTCAAGAGAATGTCCGAAACCCACCATATAACCACAATGCTTCACCAGAAGAGTTTCACAAACAAGGCAGTTTCATTTGCTACACCCACTGTGCAATTGTCGCCAATTTTTTTTTTTTTTTTTTTTGAGAAAGGAACAAGGGCAATATCTTGCAAGGCGTAGGCATGCCCTGTAAGCCAGACTCTACTGTTCACCATCTTTTTTTCTTTTTTTTTTCTTTTTTTTTTCCGATCTCAGATGTATAGAAACCGCATCATACAGCATCTATTCTGGCAACACTTGCGACCATAGATTTATTTGCCTTGCATAAGTAATGAATTTCAGACATCTCTTAATGACACAAGGTTGAACACGAAAGTCTAAAGAGGTCATGGATTATCAAACACGAATAAACAAAAGCGAAGGATAAAAGCTCAAATTGGTTCACTATTGGGAGACACGATGAATGCATGGTTTTTAGAAAGTTAAATCCTAAATGCCCTTATCATTTCAAATGCATCCAATTCAACAAAATGTGGTCTCGACATGTACAAAATAGTAAGTTCTAGAATATCAATACCATGTGTGATACCCACTCAATCAAACAAAAATAGAGCAAACAAGAATAATATGCTCATGCAAGACCCAAAAGCTTCCAAAAGTTATAAAAGTGGGTCAAGTCCAGCACACTCAATAATCAACGATATTGCCAAGGAAAAACAAAATGCCCAGCTAGCATATTTGACCACATACCTGTGCACCATGATTGTATAATTCATCATAACAACACGCTCCAGCATTAACAAACATAGAAATGAACAAAAAACCGACTAACTACATTGTTTTCATTTTTTTGTTTTCCATTTTTCGTTTTTCTTTTGTTAAGTAAACTCAGCCAAAAAATATAATGGAAACCCAAAAGAAATGATGGGAACCACTC